GGAATTATTGCATATTCATGCATTTAAACCTGGAGGATAATTGCAACACAGACACACGTGCAAGCATGCAAAGAAAGAAGACAAAAAAAGGAACAGGGATATAAGTTGGCATATGTTAAAACTCAAAGTTATCAACATTATTTCACATTATTTTGGACTGAGTCCAGAGAGTCTGGCGGCTGATATCATAGAATCTCTTCTTGTCGTCATTCCAGTGATAGCTGTGTGGCTCATCCACTTTTCAGGTGAATGTTGGATTTCCTCTGGGCACTCAGTTTGAGAAAGGTTAAGAATGAAGGCAAGCTTAGCCGAGCCTGGAGTCTAGTCTTCTGTACAGAGAATTTTGTGGGTAACAGTGTACTGGCTGTGCCCAGATTGCTATGCTAACATTTGAGTGATTTTTTTTTAAAAAGAAACATTGCTCACAGTAGACTAGCTCTCTCCAGATTAAACCAAAGCAATCTTGAAGTTACAGGACTCCTGAATGAGTCACTTTGGTTCGCAAGGTAGTTTCTGTGCTTGCTCGTTGTCTATCGTATCAGTTAAATTGTGCCATTAGTGCCAGTTCAGCCATATTGAATTTCATTCGAGCCCTCCTTCATCTAGAAATGGCTGTGGAGATATGGGATTTACAGATCTTTTACATGACATCACTTCTATTCTTATACATTTTTGTTCTGCTAGAAAACAAGAGGCGTACATTCATTCTCTTATTCTCTCTTGAAAGTGAAATAGAGTCAGCAAGTAAAATATCAGTTCACTGTTGTATTCTGAGTGTTTACTCTTAGGACAAGGCTTCAGTGGTTACATGGCTCTGTTCTGCAGTGGGATGATTTCTCTGTTAAAGAGCTGTGAGAGTCAATTCTAGCAGAGCAATCTGCATCGGTCAGTTTCCGTTTTCTTCGGAAACCATCCCAAGAGTTGTGGTCTGAGTATGGCAGGATGGTTTTCAACTTCTGTTAAAATCTCTTACTGCTTTTCTGTCCATATCATCTATCAGTTTATTTTTGATGCTGTCAATGATCAGGTCATCCAGGCACACTGCAGAATAGTAGGATCCAACTATCACCTAGTTTGCTAACATCTGAAAGGTTGCTGAAGACATGTTTAAACCCAAACACATGACCGTACACTGGCATTGGTCATTTGGGGTAATGAATACAGATATATGTCTCAGTCTGGGGATCAACAGGACTTCGCAACTGAAGGTGTAGTAAGATCCTGGTCTCCTTAGATTGTACTGGACAAAGAAGGGGGATACTGAAACTCTTCATGGGTCAATTGGCACTTGATAGCAATATTTATGTCCAGAGTATGCCAGCCTGACAGCCAGGGATTCAACTTGGGTAGACTCCAATTTCCCCGTCAACCAACTCATCCTGGCTACCTTCAGACGTGTTCTCTCTCTGTTAGGCACTCTCAGTTGACTGGACTCTAGGTTTAATTCTGTTTTAGTTGCATTTCCACTCCTTTTAGGGCAGTCATAAGTGTGGTTGAATATCTGGGATAATATCTTTCCCTGCTCTGTTCCTTTGAGGTAGGATTAGTCTCTACCCTGACCTATGGAAACACTCTCGTACTTAGTGTTTTTGAGAAGCTGATGCTGTCATACCCTGTGGCTATTCAACTTGGGAAGAATCCCCCTCACCATTTTTTTAATGCCAATCTTGTACATTCCCTGTTCCTCCTCTCCAAGCAGAAGGGTGGAGCGGCTCATCAGAGCTCCTGCTCGTCCAGCATAGGTGCAGGCTCTTGTTTTCCTATATTGAAGAAGGTAGTTGCCTCACCTGTTGCCTGTCTGTTTGCAGCTTTTTCTGGTCTCCCTCTAAATGTGTAAGGGGGATTTCAGTAAGCAATCCTTTTCCAACATGGGTACAGGCTCCCTTCCTCTGAAATGTTCTGGTAGATCTGCGAGTTGTGTGTGCTCCTCTTGATTCCTGAGAAGAAGAACTGCACCAGCCACACTTGGCTGTGTCTTCTTCAAAACTGCTACTCCCACCTCAGCCTTTACCTCCCTCTAGCTCCTCAAGTGAGCATTGTACATTGGGTTCTGGATGCCTGGGAACTACCAGCAGGGCTTGAAAGGCCATTTGGATGGTTGCAAGCACCTAAGCCATTCTTGCTGTCAGGATAGGTCAGACAGCTACTGCAGAATTGAATTCGCCCTAATTTAGTCCCCCTGGCTTATGTGGGACTGACTAGTTTTTACTGGTCTGCTGCGTGGCTTTTAAATTGTGTGGGGCTTCTTTTCACTCTCATTTTATTCTTCATGGGCACTGCCCATTAATCCTCATTGAAGTCAATTTGTGGCTCACTCCTTTACCTCCTCTGAAATTTACAGGTTCTTTGTGACCCATTTACTGGCCTTTCTTCAGCACTCTTGAAACATGTCATCCCAGGCAGATTTTCCAGCCCACTAAAGGGATCAAACCTTTTCTCTGCAACACTGCAGAGCTTTGCTCAAATAGCTTAGGTTGTTCAGCATCTGTGGACTGTCCCCTCGGTTCTATACTGACCCCTTTTTGACTCTATAGTCTCTTTGCTAGACTTTTTAATTTCTCTGACTTTTATCTTGACTCTCTTCGATCCAACTTTGCCTTCCTCATTACCTATCATTTCCTCTCCATTTTTCCAGTATGTATGGGCTCTATCATCACAGTTCGGAATTTGGGACTTCTTGAAATTCTCAATAGCCAATAAGAACCTTTCTAGTTCCCTTCTGTTTTTCCAGTCTCCTTGGACTGCTCTGACTTCTCTGGGATCTGTGCTCAGGGCCTAACCAAACCATTTCCCAGTGGTATATTAACAACTTCAAATTAACTTCAATCTCCTTTTGGGCTCCTAGCTTCATCTCCAGTATCATTTTGCTCAAAAGCCCATTCTCTCTCCTGTTCTCTTTCTCTCTCTCTTTCACTCTCCTGAAACTCTAGCTATCAGTTCTTCTTTTCCAGCTCTATCATCTTTTATTTTTTGCAAGGAAAATTGTCCTGGGTAGAATACCTGAATTTGACTCTGTGCTGCAAGTGAGCATTCGTTCAAATGCTTAAGAAGCATCTGAAGTTATTCTGGTCTTTTCACCTTGCTATTTACTTTTATTTGCATTCCCCCAGCTACACCCTCCAGCTGCCCTGCACTTAGGAAAATGTTTTGTTCATTAAAGATTCTTTTCTTACCCACATTTTGGTTTTAAAATGTAACACTTCACTCTAGTATTAGGATCAAGGGAATTTGCTACAGTTGGTTGTCTGTTTAAAAGATATTTCTAGTCACGGAAATTTCCCTGTTGGCTTCCATGTGGTTTCTTGAAGTATTCACTGAAAGCTTGTTTTTGAGATTCGGACTCTGGTCAGATTTTTGTGCAGTGCATAAAATGAGTTCAATCCCGGACCTGCACCTCATTTCTGTTATGGATTCGATGGAGAGGTGAACTGAATTATTTTATTTTCTTCAATTTCTGCAAAGGTATTTTTCATTTTTCTTTTCTCTTTAGAAAGAAATTGTGGTATGTTTGTGCAGGCCAATTTTCACATGACTCATAAAATACTGTCTTTAGGGTTAAAAAGATGGTTAATTCATGCATTCCATGCTGGGGAATGACTGTTGCAACACATACATAAGCACAGACAGAAGAAAGAAAAGGAAGGAAGATAAGAAGTTACAATTAAACAGTGCACTTAGTTCACTTATCACACCAAACTGGGATTTCTTCTAGAAGCCAGGTTTTAGAGGGATCGAGGTTAAAGGGAGACTCAGCTGAGCCTGGAGTCTGGTCTTCTGAAGAGAGAATCTTGCAGGTCGTGATGTTAACAGATGGGATTTTTTTTCAAATAGACTGTGTTGTTCACACTGTACGAGCTTTCACTCGATTAAAGCAAGGCATAAGAGTCCAGTGCTGCTTTGTGTGGCTTTTGACTGCACAAGAAAAACTGTGAAATTCCAGAAGATCATTGTCTGAGCTCTGCCCCAGTCCTATCAATTGCAACTATTCAGAAATTTTGGTCAAATGGTATCATGTAACCAACCAGCAGTCATGTTTAAGTCGAGCAAAGTTCAGTTGAAAATTTAAGTAAGAAATTGTAACTTTTAGAACTACTTATGATCTCTTTCCTCTGTGGGCATGACCACACATAAATAAATAATTCAGGGACAACTGCCCATCATATTACCCTGCCTTTGCTGCAAATGATTGTTGGACAACTGGATGAGAGTAAGCAAACTGTTTCTTTAAAAAGTTTTGAAAATGTCGGGTAGGAGGTAGGTGTATACTGTCTTTGGAGAGTACCTTCCCCCAGCTTGAGAAGGTAGTACCATCCCCATTCATTCCAGTATATCAAGAAAAACCCCAGATTCCTTCCTAAGGTGGGATGGCCCTCACCGTCAATAGCCCTCTGATTTAATTCACTCTGGGATCCACGTCTCTTCGCAATCCTTCCTGTAGTTCCGAAAACTCCCACTACCCAGCTCTGGCACTGCTGGCATTGTTGGAGTTGTCAGCCCATCAGATTGATTGGCAGTTCCAGAAGTTGGGGCATCATCCCACTGAGGGGCTGATGCCCCACTTCCAACCTGCTGCATAACATTGTGGTGAGGTGAAGTTTCTCTTTGGTGATTGGTCTCTGACTACGTCCAACCTACATTACACATGTACATTGTCAATGAATTATGAGGAAAAATTTTAAATCAAGTTTTTTTTCCTATTTAAGATCATCCATTCTTCACCTTTTACATCAGTTTCCTACTGAGATGCCTTGTGCAGGGCTCCTGGAAAGACTAACTTGCGGATCAATGAGGTGAAAGCTCTAATCTAACTGTTAAAAATAATGTCACTCCTGTAACCAGCATCTTGACTATTTAAAGTAAAAAGCAATCGGTAAAGGGTTAATAATTATGCAACTACATTGTCAAAAAATAAAACAAAGGTGTCTTGTTTTGGGTTTAGCTCTATCCATTTTAAAGCAAATATGAAAATATAGCATGAGGTGACATCAGAAACCGTTTACCTCATACTCCTGCGAGAACTTCAAGTTGTCATTAGCTTTCAACCGCTCAATGTGATCCGCGAGCTCAGAGATAGGGATTGGTGGATGATTGGCCATGCCTGACAAATTGGACAAGAATAAAACACATCACAAGAGCAATATTTAATGATACAGTGGTACAACACAAATCTGTAAAGCAATTTGTTAGAAGAGCTTGACATGTAAACTAGTAACCATGTTTGATGTTGAGAGAAATTTAAAAAAAAAGCAGGCAGTTTGATTACTCAAAGCAGGGCATGCTCAGAAGAGAAGGGGCTCTCAAGGCAATTAGCAGTTACCGCTCATGCTCTAGAAGCTCACATTCCCAAAATGTTGCCGAAGTTAGCTGGGCAGAGAAGATGGAAGGTTAGCCCTGGCACTGACTGCTGCTTTGAGTAATGACAGCGTTGCCACACTTCAAACTTATCTCCCTACAATGTACAAAGAGCTATCTGCATCAAGTTAAAATGAGAACTGTGGAATGTGAACTACACAAACAAGCAGCCAGAAGCCTGAAACGAGAGAAAAAGATTCAGAAGGAAGAAGTAGTGAATTAATGTCAGGGAAAACTAACTTGTTGAATGGAGGTTACCATGGTAACTGGAGACACCTGAACCTGTAAAGAAAATTGGGGGGGAGTGTATAAATAAAGTTTCCACTCTTCCTCCAAAGAAAAATAAACACAGGGAAAACAGAACAAATTCGTGAAGGTGCTGTCAAAAATGTGTTTTTGTTTTGCCACAAAAACAAGATTAAATCATTTTATTGCAAATGTTTTTTTAAAAAAGGGGAATTAAATCATGAAATTACTTCCACCCATGTTTGATGCTAAAAACCTTTCACACAGCAGCCATTCACATGCACTGTACTTCTAATGAAGGACTGACTGCATGGACCAGGGATAAACAGCAATTACAGAGCACACAAAGACTGCAAAATAATTCAAACTTCGAAAATGTTTCCACTGATCACAGATTGCAGGGGATGAGGGCTGGGGAGGAACAGGACAAAGATTACCGTTTGATTTATTTTGCTCAGTGTGACAGGAACAGGACACTCATGTCAAATATGATAGTCCCAAGTCAAAAACTCCTGGCCAAAATTAAATCCCATGATCGCTCCTACAACCTGCTGCGAGTATCAACATTTTTTTGAGAGAAGCAAGATTCAGGAGCTTGTCTCCATAGCCTGACACTTTTCCTTAGGACTGTAAACATTTGTGAACCAGTCTCTCTACTGCCCTTCATTCATTTTTAGGCCATGTTAACTTGTTTGAGCACCTGTCTGGAGAAGGCCAGAAAGCACTTCACTGGTTTTACAATAGTGAGCAGCCGGCAAGGAATAATGACGGTAACTAATGGAACATGGAGAACTGCACATAGGCACATTGAGAGCATGCATGTGCATGGAAAGCAAAACTAAAGAACTGTGGAACTCAAAAGGAAAATTACAACAATATTATAATTTTATCCAGCACTCAAATGTTGAAAACAAACTTAGGAGACTTAGACCTTTTGGACTACCCATGCGACAGTGTTAGTACCATCTAATTACTGAGCAGCCGTGTAGCTGGAAAGGAAGAACATGGAGCCAAACATGGGGTTGATGGCAGGAACTGAGTTATTGGCCAAGGCTGTAAAGAGTTGGTAATCACTACACAGGTCACAGATACAACTTCATTCAGTGCTCAGTACCTTCAACGGTACCAGTTACAGAAGCACTCTTATCTAAGAGAATTTGTTGATTAGTTCTTGAGGCATAGATTGAATTCTGCTCCTCTTTTTCTCCACATAAAGATTCTCCCACCCCAGCTTAGATCATTTTCACTACACATCTATGATAGAGACTCAACGTAATGTGTCACTATTGGGTCTTGACATCAAATCGCAGCAGGTTGCCCTTCTGAGCTGTAGACCAATTGGTTTGGGAAACAGGAGGCAGTTACTCAGAAAAATAAGTTTTCCAAAGGAATTCAAAAGTCAATATTTATATTTTAGTGCTTCTAGTAAAGAAAAACAAAAGCATCCTCAATTCCTGTTAAGTTGGAAATCTGAGGTCTTAAGGGTGGGGGAGCTGTCAGTTGATACAAGCCAGTTAGTAGTTAGTTTGTTGGACCTGACACTAGCCATGCATCAGAAAAAAAATCAGGGACTATAGTGCAAAATTCCACAGCTGCAAAAGTGGATAATTATTCCTTGACTGTTTTTATTTCAAGACATTTGCAAATTTTAATTTAAATGGCATTAAAAGGTAAAATTTCTTTTGGGCAAAAGGAGGTGTTAGGTTTTTTGATGACATCAAAATAATAAACACTAATAAAGCAAACAGGGAACTTTCAACATGTCAGTATTAAGCAGCACATTGTCAGGTATAGCACACAAGATACAGGGTACAGCTATGTCTGCATGTACTTAGTGTTGGTCTTGAAATTACCTTATAAAAAAATTAGAATAAGAATGCTTACTGCATTTGTAATAAATTGCTTTCAAAGTATTTTATTGTAGGTATTAACCCATGTATAATAAATGGGTCAATACCTCTTTTGAAAATGGCACAGGAAAGAACTTTATATAACCATGTTGAGCATTTGTATGCTAATTTTTGCATATCCCAATTTCAAGGTTGATAGCTGAAATTTTTCAGTCATCGTAGTTTTGAGGCTGGAAGTACCTGTTAGGATAGTACTAGCAATGGAATAAAACTGATTGAAAATTGTAGGCAAATGTGTCTTAAGGCCAATCTCTGAAAACACTCGACTGGTAACATACCAGAGCAACTTAGGCATTTTCTTCTCTCACGGTAGATATCTTTCATTATCAATTAACATTGCCCTAATTTATGTTATTTCCTTCGTCGGATGAATGTGTTGCCGACAAGGTCTGCACTTGCTGCCCATTCCTGACTGCTCTTGAACTGAGTGGCCTGCTCTGGTATTACAGAAAGTTGTTTACAGTCAAACACACGACTGTGGGTCTAAAGTCACATGTAGGTCGGACCAAGTATGGATGGCAGATTTTGTTTCCTAAAGGACAGTAGTGAACCAGATAGTTTTTTTTTCAGAATTCAATGGAAGTTTCGTGGTCACCATCACTGATACTGGCCTTCTATTAGAGAATTTTATGTGTTAATTTCAAATTTTAAATTATACCAATTGTCAATTTGAACCACTGTCCCTGAGGTCTGTGCAGTCAAGTTGCATTGCCACCGTCTCCAACCTGCACCTGGTAAAGGATGTTAAAGAGCAGCTGCAACACATCTTCTGGGGGAGGGTGATAACGGAGATGTTGATTACTAGGAGCACAAATTTAAAGTGATTGGCAGAAGGATTAGAGAGGACATGAGGAAAATGTTTTCACCCAAAGGCAGGTGGAATCTGGAAGGTGGAATCTGGAATCTGCAATCTGCTGCCTCGTTTGGTGTTTGGGGTGAAAACACTCAAGTCATTTTAAACGAAGGTGAACTGCCCTTGAAGCCTGTAACCTGCAAGGCTACAGATCAGGTGCTGGTAAGTGGGATTAGAATGGCAGCTTTTATTTCAATTAGCCCAGACACCATGAGCTGAATGGCCTCTTTCTGTACTGCAATATTTCTATGGTTCTAGTAATTTAAAGTGGCCATTTAAGTTTAATCAGAATCTGATAAATTTTGAAAAATAGGTGCTTGGTTTACTCAATTATAGCAAATGACTTTTTTGCTCTTTGGCCACCATTGTGATATCTATTGAGTACATCTGATCTACAGTTTGTTGGGAATGATCAACACCACATTGTAGACTGTCTTTGTCTTCTGATTATTGGTCTGGTGAAAGCATTCAGGGAGCACTGCATCTAGCAGCAAAGACATATCAATGTGAGTTAGTCCCCTTATCTAAACCCATTCACAAGACTGGTGAAAATACCTGGCTCTAAACAACAGCTGAGCGGTTATTATCTGTTACCTTTCCATTTCATTCAGTAACACTTTAGCTGGGTTTAATACTACCTCCACGTGGAATGAGTAATTCCTTCATGTGGGAGATTTGTGGAATACATCATTAGACCAGGTTGGCCCTTGTGGTGCAATGGCAATGTCCCTATCTCTGAGCCAAGAGACCGGGTTCAAGTTCCACCTGCTCCATGTGTGTGTCACAACATTTTTGAACAGGCTAACTAGAAAATATGTACATCACTCAACCAGTACATGACACCCAAAGCAACAGCATTCCAGACTCAGCTGACAGGTGACTTGGTTTCTCCAAGATATCAACTCCGTGAACTCTTTCTCTGCCTGGGCATTCCAGACAGTGCCCCAGCTACAAGTTTCTAAAACTCACTGTACTCCTGCTTAGTCTGGATGTCAGTCTCTTGCAGTACTCCGATCCAGACCAGACTGCAGTGAGATGTGTTATTACTTCAGGTTTGTACTATTTTAATTTATTTCTCCTATTCATGTCTCTTTACGGTTGGGCAGTAACTTGAGAGAAGAAAACTATACTTTTGGAGGGAAGAAGATCCCAGTAATACTTCACACTTTGCAAAAACCATTACCAGAGTATAAACCAATCAAAAGTATAATGGCTGGTCAAGAGGGAGCAGCCCCAACCAGTTAACAAAGTCTGCTGGTTGTTCCTAGCAGTCCTGAATCTGGGACGCTACAAACAAGTTTTCACTGAGGAGTACCAGCACGAGTGGTATTAGGTAGCTACAGTGGCACTGCAGGAAGACAGCAATATTAAACAGCACAGAAGACTCAACACACCAAAGGCAATCTTTTTTCACCTTTCCTTCCTCTTTTGCTTTATTTAAACCAGAAGCTCTTTGCTGACATATAAAAAACTTGATGTAAGTTTTTTAACATGGCAATGAAAAAATCAACAGAGTTTTGTGTAACCACATTTCTCTCTCACACACCCAAACAAAAAAGCAAAACAAAACATGGTCCAACACAAACCTGGATAGCTTGGATTTAAACTTTTCCACCTCTCACCTGGAGTCTGAAAATTGAGACGTCTTAGTTCTACTGGGTCCGTGGGATGATGGGAAGGTAATTCTTTGCTGTTCGGAATGCTGCTTTTTCGCGAGTCAGATTCTGTCCTTTTCCTACAAGGAGGATGTTGACTGATGTTAACAATCATGGAAAGAGACTAAACTCCATGCAGTTAAATAAACAGAAGAAGCAGATTTAGTCACAAGCAGCTCAGGGCAGAAATGATGAAAATCAACCTGCTAAAGACTTGCTGGACCGATAGTGGCTGCATCAATGGTCGATAACCTTATTCACAACCCCTGTGGTTTGCTCCAAAGGCAATGTCCATTTTCAGATATTTAAACTACTTTTTCCCCTCCATTTTCTCCCTCTCCATCAAATGGAGCTTGTAGGCTTTTACATTACATACACGGGTATCATTTAAATTCAATTACACTCTTCAGCCACAGTCTAATGACAAACTCTTTCAATCCCATTGGCATATTTGCTGCAGCAGTAACTATAAATATCTTACAAAATCAGAAAATGGATTTTACCCACTTTTTTAAAATTAAAAATGTAGTTTTAAAAAAAACCTATTCCCTCAAAAATGCAATCATATTTTTTCCTAGACTGTAAGGCAGCCTCTGTTAGATTATAAAGGCTGCCGGGGAAAGCAGTTAAAAAAAAGTGCATATTATACAGAATGATAAAGGAGAGAAACTAAAAAGTGTTCCGGATGGCAAGTCCCATTATAATACTGCAGCTCCAAAACTGCCAGGTCACGTGGCCTTTGATTGCTGTCAGGAGTTATTAGTTACAGGAAGGATGAAAATCACATATAAGATTTCATGGCAAAGCTTTCAATTGAGGAATTAAAAGGGGAGTGGGTGGTTATTTAGATAGAAATAATGCACAAGGGGATAGAGCAGGCAATCGGCAGTAAATAATGATGCACATTTGTCGGTAGGCATGACGGGCTGTATGGCTTCCTTCTAGGCTGAAACACTTTGGTGATTTTGTGCGATAAATGATGACATTCATCGTGCACATTTGTCTGTTTGTCAGTACTGCAGAATGCATTTTCGTTTTTGGTTCATGCCTCAGGTGTGTGTGTGTGTGTGTGTGTGTGTGTGTGTGTGTGTGTGTGTGTGTGTGTGTGTGTGTGTGTGTG